TTGGTTTATCTACATTCTCACCGAATATACCAGGGAGGTCATTCATGAAAATGTTAAAAAGCGTTGGTGAGATATTGCACCCTGGTTTGACACCACCTGTTGGATGAAATACCTTTGTGATACCACTGTTTAGCTTTACTTTATATTCTTGATCAGTGTACATTGATTTTATTATGTTGTAGAAATTGCCTTTTATGCCAGTTTTTTGTAATTTTAGAAATGAAGCATCTCTTGAGACACTGTCAAATGCTTTTTTTAAGTCTACAAAACAGCTGTATAATCTTTTACATTTAGCACCAGTTTCTTTTTTTAATGCCAAAAATAAAGTTGTGAACCAAAAATATAGTTAGTAATTAAGAGTGAAGAAATGGCGGTTCTAGTATCAACGGAAATTAGATATATTAATTTACTCTTCCAAAATCGAAACATATGGTCAGAAATTAAACAGGATAAGCTATTCATGCATTTTTTGTATCCAAAATGAATTTCATGGATGCCAGTCGGCCATCTTTGGTCTGATTATGGAAGAAACTGATATAAACATGTATTCCTATATTTATAATGTATGTGCCAAACATGAATGAAAATAGTCTAAAAGCCTCGGGGATATAGTTGTATGGTCAAAAGGCAAGATGGTAAATTTGCTATATTTAATCCGATTGTAAAACAAATTTTCGTGGACATCTAAAATCTAAAATGTACAATGCATGTACCAAATTTGAACAAAAACTGACAAAGCATGCATAAGATACCACATTTTCAAAAATCAAAATGGCTGCCATTCAGACATATTGGATTGAATCAGTAAACCACTGTATGAACAGATTTGGTCCACCGGGTTTCTGTAATATGACTTTGGACGGACGGAAGGACGGACGGAGACCGAATTATAAGATCTCGTTTCGAACGTTGTTCGAACGAGGACTGATAAACTGGCTGATCCTGATTGCCCAAACTTATTATATCTTGGTATCGTGTGCATTTTTATAGGTTTATTGTTAGTTTTGAATCATACATCTTATTTCATTCAACATCACACTGATTCAAGAGAGAAATACACTGATGATGATTTAGTGAATGAGATTTCTTTTCTCATTAACATATTCATGCTGTGTGGTGAGCAAGTGTTCTAACAAGCTTTGAATAAAAGGCTTCTCGATGCTTTTGCAATTATTACTATAATTCGTTAGACGAATACAATTTGGCTGAATCTCAGTGTTAAATAAAACGTCTATATCTAGAGTATGTATTAAAAATATAGAATGGTGTTATAGAACGTGTGTATCTCGTATCTTAAAGAATGCACACGATTTAACACACAACACTCATAAAAGTGCCAGTAAAATAGTGTATGTGTCACCCTAATGTGGTACATACACCGTATCATACATTGTTCTCTTCTCAAAAAGAGCTGGGCTAAACTGATTGAAGTAGAAAAGTTCTAAGCTGTATGTATATAGTTTTAATACATGTACTATCCTTACACTTAGAAGGAAGGAGGGTCACTATTTTTCATGCACCATTAAAGGGGGGAAGTTAGCAAATTTCATGCAAATGTTTGTGAAGGGTCATATATTTTTACGTATGCGACTTTCAAAAAACACGGCCCACCCCATGTACTTATGTCCCTTGTGACAGACATAAACACATGATGGCATCGCCAGTTTGAGCGGCATGAAAGTAACATTTTTGCCTTCCATCATTTCCATTGTTAAACTCCTTATTTTTTCTATAATATCAGCGTCATTCACAGTGATTCAGACAATCAAATGGGCGAGTCCGGATAGCGTGTTCAAAAAAAAAAATTAACGCCTGTGTACATAAGTATGTTGTTGCAATAATTTCCAGGGTGACATTATAGCATTGATTGTTTTTTTCCCACCACGTGATATCAATCATTCGTTATTGTGACCAATCTTTATTTACTTCAAAATCGATATCTCAAATACAATGTTATTATTAAACATAACATAGCCATAAACTGTTGCATAGCAACCGTTTTGCGATCTAAATACAACAATCCCCTCTAATTTCGCTGCTTAAAATGTTTCCTCCCCGGCAAAATTTACTAGTCGTACTTATCACAATTCACAACGCACTTTTATAATGCGTGAGACTGTCCTTTGTGAAAAACGCGTTGTAATATCCCTCCATCTTTAAGGCACAGGCCGGATGATACCGAACAACATAGTGTGTTTCAGTAGTACTCGAACATAAATATTATTTTCCCTAGTGGTGTATTGCTAGTCGCTAAAGAACTTCCTGTTCAAATAACTTATTTTTTTCTCCCAGATCTGGTGTATAGTACCGGCTGGAAACTTTCATTTCCACTGTCTGATGATTCATTATTAGAATCATCAGACAGTGGGTCATCATCATAGCTTTGAATAAAACTTAAGTTTTTAACATGTCATTCAATGTACGTACTACTGCTAAAAGATTAGTACGAATAGGTGTTTGTTTAGGCAACACGGTCACTAAAACTGTGCATAACACTCCCCCAACACTTGCACGAAAATCAGTGACCCCCCCCCAAAAAAAAACCACGAAAAACACACCAACCTACCCTACCTGTACTTTATGTCCAGTCTCTAGTAAGTCACATGACTACATGTTTTAGTACATACAAAATATAGAGAAGTTTCACTGCCACATGCTACGATTCTCCAGTGGTAATGCTACTCTTGAAACAGGTAATAATTTAATTTTCATTGATTAATTTCCACGTCGCGGTGAATTACATAGGTCAAATGTTACAGTGACCATTCCGGTCAAGCAGCACAACTACGTCGAACTAGCCACAAAGTCGGCGAGAGAAGTTCGAACAGCTGATCAGTAGAAGTAAAGGAAATAACGATTGTAGCCTTTAGTATCAACGCCATCAATTCGGGTATTTTGGTATTTAACATAAACAACATTACTTCAGTGTACGACTGACGTATAAAATGACGGGAAACTCGTATCAGATGTACACTATTTTGGTTCCTAAGATCTGGGGGAAAGGAAATGGGTAACCGTACCTTGGAAATATCCTTTTCTACTCTATATCGCGTTTCCCTGTAGGTAAATTGTACGACGAATTCAATGCGTGCTTGAATTACATCACTTAAGAAATATTGTTATATAGTCTATGTAATGCAGCAATTACAAACGTTAACCTAACGTTTTGCCAATAGGGCAGTGACATAGTTACTGTGGTAGGTGTGACGTCACAAATAATACAATAACACTCATTATTGTTAATCTTCTACCCTATATCGCGTTTCCCTGAAGGTAAATTGTACGACGTATTCAATGCGTGCTTGAGTTACATCACTTGGTCACTCACTAATTTTGGTTCGTTTTTGAGTTGTTTGGGTTGTTATGGGGTAGTTTGGCTTGTTTTTAGGTTGTTCCAATATTGACTGTATTACAAGAGAACACCCGAATATTTTATGTCATACACTTAAAGGACACATTAAGCCAAACAATACAATGTGCCCCAAGAAAAAGCTCCACAAATGTAGGAGAATGCAATTTAGAGGTTTTTTTCATTCTCCAGATATACAACAAGTATTATGTAGTCAGCCATCTTGATTCTCAAGCAAAGGATTATGGGTAAAGTATGAAATCATAGAAAAATGAGAAATACTGATGCCATATTACTCATGTATATAACTATAGTAATGAAAATTAGAATGTTACAAACACACATAAAGTGAAGATATTACCAAAATTAATAATCGTTATTTTAGTCAGGAAATATAGAATGATACTTTTTGTCCCCTTTTGGTGGTCAACAGGTAATATATCGCCTATATAACCTACTCACATCTGTAAATTCTAAACAATATGAGAAAATTTGAGCATATGATAGAAAAAAATAAAAAATAAATATTTTCAGTTCTGTTTCCATGACAACTATTTTATAAGCATACTTTGCACCAGTACATGTATGCTACCATGTTCTTAACTTGGAACGTGACTTTAATTAGAGAATTGTAGACAGTCTATGTAGACTAAGCGATTAGGAGAGCTGTTAAGGCGATCAATAGTGTACTAGGTACTAAGATTATTTCGATTCAGTGTGACGTATGCAACTTATCGTAGGTATAGCACTGGAATCGACGATTATCGACAAATACTTACAGAGTCAGAATCTTTGACAATCATTATGATGTTGAGTATTTTACGGTTCATTTGCGAGTTTTCCTGAATGCTACCATTGTAATACGACTGATCAAAATATGGCGTCCCATCGTTTTCATCCAATACAAGAATAGTAACTCTAGTGAACGTTGTAATAGTGCTTAGAGGTTGGTTATACTGGTCAATTTCTATTGCCTGTAAACAAATAATACTTCAAATTAGTGTAATAATTCAAGACATCGTGGTAATACGGTGAGGTGTACTCATTGTCTATGTAATCAATATTCCAGTAATTAGATTAGTAATCATTTATCATGTCTGTATACTATGTAATTAATATATTTATAATTATAAGTTCATGAGTAATTTTTATATTTAAGCTGTTATTTAATTGTTTTTCAAACTAAAGCTTCTTCGTGCAAAGTTGTTGACACCCGTGACAATAGATTTATTATCAATTTTGAAAAGGTTACGGTTCAAAATGACTTAAATATTATGAGTAGTTATACAAATCAATATATTACAAATCCGTAAATGCATTGGTGGATATAAATATGAATATATATTTTAATTCGTCCTATTGTGATTAACAGTGATGTTTGTTATGAACGGTGATGGATAATAAAATTAACTCCAGACGCTCTATCATGTCTTGAAAATGAGCTTAAAAATGTAATTCACCTTGTCGAATTGTTAACGTTCATATAAAGAATAGAACTATTTGTTGTCCGAGAAAGAAGGACTGGTGGAACGTGCCATTCAATCCATTTCTCATAATATCTGTATTGGGCAAACGTTGTTTGATTCAAATGTAATGGAGACCTTCATACACAGTATATTGGGGCTAACAATAATACAGATGTTTGAATTAGAAATGTCGGAATACTCACAGTCAAGTTGAATGCTATGATGCCACCATCAATGCCTACAGCTTCCCGATCCAGCGGAACTGAAGTATATAAAACTCCTTTACCACTATCTGTTATAGTTTCAACCCAAAACAAATCTGCTTCATTTTGTCCAGCTGTAGTTACAATAGAATCAATATAATATTGACACATATATACAATGTAATGACATCGTGGTCTTTATCTAAGTGTGTTAGAATGGTTTAGTTTTAAACAAGAATCAATTGATTTTCTGTCCTAGAAAATACAAACATATTAGCCCACATAAAACAAATTTAGATTAATATATTCACAAAACATTTTATAATACCAACACAAATGTATTTATCCATATTTGTATTATACATTACCCTCCACTAATTATAACGTTTGATTATGAAAACAACATAATAGTAGAAAACACCAAAAAACAATACAGTATTATTGTTGACGTTTTAGCAGCTCCTACTTCAGTCGATATCTGAATGTGCACATGCCATGATTTTATGTGTAATAAATATATGGGGATTAGCCATTGTAGAGGGCGTTTTTGACATGTATTAGATACACAGTACGACTAAGACGGCGGGAAACACAACTTATGAGCTTTCTGTCTGTTTGTTTCAAGCGCCGCTCTTATCATGATAGCAAGTAGGCATCTGATATGAAGTTGAAAATTAATGAAGTTGTGAAGGAGTGTGTGTCATTATAAGGCACTGTACTGCTGTTACTTACAGGCAATACCATATCGTATACGTTGTGGAACACCGAGATCACCATCTACCGCAAGAACTTCCATTACTGATGTATTCTGTCAATGATTTAATGGATGCAGGGAAAGAGTCAATGTTCAGCATTCAACTTATGTAGATTTTATAAATCTGCCATTAATAATTTCAGTTCCTTCAACATATAACTAACTTCAGATAACTAAGTATATAAATTATGCCTGTCCAGTCAAAAGTAAGATTTTAATCAATATATTTTAACATCACCATGTGTAATGTAATACGCAAAATGCTGCACACCAGAGAATGGGTTGAAAAAATAAAGTATCCATATTAATCCAAACTAAATAACAAAGCTAATCATATAATAGGGTTATAAAGACATACCACTGGTTGATTTTCTGGGACATCCGCATAATATGGCAGACCAATAAACTTAGGTGGCATGTCTTGAACATCTTTCACATTAACATAAAGTGTAGCACTACTACTTAGTGGACCTGGATCTGTACCAAAATCCTGTATTTAAAGAAATGAATATCAGTAACTCTTATTAAATTTAATTCTTATGAAATGTCCCATTCCATACTTGTACCTGACCTTAGATCCAAACGTTCATTCTCGCATGCTACATCTATCTATATTGTTGTAGTATGGTACATAGTGTATCATGCTACATATTTTCTGCAATAAAGCGACCAAGACAATTCCAATGAAGCTGAGAACGGGTTGGACGTGTTTCAGACTTTATTATTGAACGCATGCCAACACATACATTAAACATAACTACCGGTTTACTCTCATATTTATAACTGGTATATTCTTTTTCATAATAAAGCAATATTACATGATTATTACATAGAATGTTGTACTAGAACTGTAACCAGTACACATTGAATGAAAACAGCTTCTGTATAGTATTAATGAGTCCATCACCAGGCAATCTTGTATCATGCTTTGAAATTACTCCAACATACTGGTGTGAATACATGAATGTATGTAGACTTCTTTACGTTATATACTCACTTCAGCAAATAGGTTCAGTTTATACACTCTCAAAGATTCAAAATCCAAGGTTCCAGTGAGGTAAATGTCAGCAACTGTTGTTTTCTCCGCTACTACCGATGAGTTAATATAAAACATGCCATCGTAGTCCTACAAAGTGTCAGCGAATTAAATGAATTAGTTACATTATTTAACAAACATTTAAGTAGCGAATCAGAGGCATTAACTGATAGTTAAGTTTGTTAACTGCCAGGTTATTAATATAGTTAAATAAATACCGCAAAACATGCACTCAGGTCAGTAGGTCAAGATAACAGCATTCTGTTGGACGATCTTCCCGTCTTACTATCCGGCCTAGTTATAACTTCAGTACTATACATATTCTCGATCCTACTTTTTAGGGTAAAACCGCAAGCAAGGCAAAGAAAATATTTTATCGCCGTGAAATTTATTTGTAACCTGTCATATTTCTTTTTATTTATAAATTTACCATTAAATAGGAACAAATAACCCAATCACCATGATGACGTGTGTATATTAATAATCACTTACATCTAAATTTGTAATAGTAATTGTACAACCTCCACTGCTACCTACATCATTGTCAATTACAGTGACGGAATATATCATAGTCCCTTCTGATGTATCCTATTTGATTTGAAGAACAGATAGAAAATTTGAAATATATCACGATCAAAATACAGTTTTCTGAACGTGTTCATCACAGCCTTCTTGAAGACCAGATTGAAGGATTGTTGCAAGGAGTGTGGTTTATACAGGACAACTGACATATTCTCTACCTTATTTCTGAGCCCACTGGCAAAAAATGACATATTGAATGGGTCATATGCATTGTAAACACCACAAGAATGTGTTGGTATACACATTAACCCAGTGTCGAGTATATCGCACGAGGGC